AGAGCTGGGCAAAAATTTTAACTTCCTTTCAAAGTGTCCAAAAAAGGGGTCCCCAACCCCTAGGCCATGGCCAACCACTGGGCCGTGGCCTATTCGGAACTGGGCCGTGTGAGGGACTTGCTGGTGCACATGTGTGCATGCGCAGCTTGACTTGCCCGAGTGGCGGGATGGCGCACGTGCTCATGCGCATGCAGCTCAACTTGCGCCAGTGAGCTGTGCGCACATGCGTGTGTGCACCAGCCCACCGTTTGCACAAGTCAAGCTGCCCGTGCCACCAGCCTGCTGCTCGTTTGGCCCAGTTCCCCTCTTCCCCCCTCAGCTGGGCCTCTAAGCCACAAAGGATGGATGACTGGCACAGTAAATAGACAGCTGTCCTGTCCCTTGGGCTGCTCATAAGCATGGGTCTAGTGTCTTTCTGAAAAAACACTGTATCTGTTAGTTTTTATTTTTGAGTGAGTGCTACTATGAGTCCGGGGTTGTCCTCAGGGAATGGTCAAAAAAGTCAAGATGGAGGTTGTTATGGTACAATTGAAGCTCCCGCTGGTTTTTGTGTCTGACTCACTCTCTTTGGAGGTTCAGAAAAACAATTGAAGATAGCTAGTTTCCCTGGGACGTTGGCACCCAAGAACACCAAATACTTCTGAAATTAGAAACAAATCCTCTTTGGAAGACTCAGGTGGAAGAAAGCCAAGTCTGCATTCTGAAATTCTTAAGTGCCTCTCGTTTAATTTGCTTCAGATGGAATTTGATAGAAGTTGGATAGGAAATGTGGCTTTGCCTTCCTCAGATCATTACATGCTGGTTCTTCAAGGGAAAAGAGAAAAGCTAAAAGAGGAAATTGCTGGTTGAGAACTAGGTTTCGCCACAGCCTGCTTCGATCCCTTAGCCAGAAAGGATTTTGCAATGGCTGGCCTGCCTTTCCTGTCCATGAAAAGCCATGCTATTAGCTGAAGGGGCCCTCAACGGCTTTTTGAGAGATGGAACTGGCTTTTGAGAGGATCTCTTGAGACAGAAGGCCTTTGGCTTGGCAAGACACTGTCTGAACCAGTGTTTTTCAACCCTGGCAACTTGAAGATGTGTGGACCTCAATTCCCAGAATTCCCCAGCCAGCATCTTCAAGTTGCCAAGGTTGAAAAACACTGGTCTGGATAAATTGATTTGTAAGTGTGGCTTCCAAAGGCTGTATTTTGTTACCCAGAGCATCTCTTTACAAACAAGCACTGCACAGAGAATTGTGTTTAGATGTAACTTCCAAGGGGAAATGCACTTTAATCAAAAAAAGAGTTTCAGGATGCAGTAAAATGTGAATGTAATGCTTTTTAACATTAGGACTGGGGTCCCCAACCCCCGAGCCCCTGCACATTACCAGGCTGTGGCCTATTTTGAACTGGGCCCCATGAGGTGCGGGCTGGCACATAGCTCAACATCCGCTTGAGCTGCGCACGCATGTGCATGTGTGCCAGCCTACCGCTCATGTTAACTTGAGCTGTGCGTGCCTGCCGGCCTGTTGCTTGTGCAGCTCAGTTCCTCTCTCCCACCCACCGGGCTGCCAAGCTGCAAAAGTTGAGGACCACTATGTTAGGGAAATGCAGTAAGTATGAGGGATTTGTTTGTCAGGGGACAGGCTCCCTTAAGCCGAAATTTTGATCACAGAAACGTCTGCGTGGCATCCCCACCTTGGCAGGAAATGCAATCCTCTTAGCAACATATGTAATCTGGAGGTCTGGAGCTGACAGTTTGCCTCCCACTGTATGTATCAATCAATGGAAGAGGTGTATATTGGTAAATTTTCTGTCCTGCTTTTTCTTTCAGATGCTCAAGATGTGATACACGATGCTTCTTCCTCCCCCTCTCTCCATTTTTTCCTACAACCCTGTGGAGTAGGTTGTGCTGAGAGAGGGATCGGCCCAAGGCCCACCCAGTCAACCTGGAATGTGGGCATGTGAAGGTGACAGCCCCTTGCTATAACCCAGTGATGGCGAACCTTTTAGAGACCGAGTGCCCAAACCGCAACCCCAAACCCACTTATTTATCGCCGGGTGACAGGTGGGCGTGGCTGTGGTGGTCATGGCAGATTGGGTGGGTGTGGCCAAGATGGGCGTGATCACCTCGATGTTGCTCGTGAGGAGGGATGCATGTGGGGGCCAGGCAGGGTTGGGGGAGATCCAGGGGGTCTCTGACAGGGGGGCAGTGGGCAGGAGGCTCGTTCTGTGGGCTGAGGCGAGGCAGGGTGGGAGTGCCATTGTTGCAGGGCAAGGTGAGGCAGGGATCGGGGTGGCTGCTGCCTGATACCATCAACTCCCACACACAGAGGCCAACGGGCGCATGGGTGCTGGGATGCATCCGGCCATGTGGGACCTCGGTGAGTTAGCGGGTGGCTGGTTGAAGAGGGACAGTTGCCATCTCCAGGGCATGGCGCGTGTGCCCACAGAGAGGGCTCTGAGTGCCGCCTCTGGCACCTGTGCCATAGGTTCACCACCACTGCTATAACCAACACCCCACATCAGGTCTCAATTTTAGTCTAAATTGCTAACAAAAAAAGGAGTTCCATCAAGACTGTACAGTAGAAGACAGTTTTATTTATTATTTATTTATTAAATGTATTTATTTAAGTTTATTGGCCATCCAACTCCAGTGAATTCTGGACAACGTAGAAAGCTAAATTTAAATTGGACTTAAGAACGGGCTGCTTCTCCACAGTAAATATTAGGAAAAAGGAAAGAAATGCGTGAGAGATTTCAAGCAGTTAATTTGGGAGTAGTTTGTGACTTGAAGTAAAATGTTACCCATTTGCAAATGAGAAAAGGAAGCATTATCCTCACCATCCCACTGCAGGGACTATTCTGCAATGTTCCCGCCAAGTGTAATTGCCAATAGAACATAGCAACATTAGAAAGTCTGTTCAGTGCAAAAGAAATGTATTGGCCATCATTTGGTTTTATGATATACTTATGTAGCTCTGCCTTTAAACTATATGATGTTTGATATGATGAAGCTGCTCTGTGATTTCCTGAATGGGAATTATTTTTGTGGGCATACTCCTTTTTTCCCCATTTTGATTGGCACTGAAATGGAAGGTTGTGTAACATCAGCAGGGAACAGCCAGGCAATGAAAAACAAATTCAGCAGGTTGCCACATGATGCCTTTTATCTTCTTTTGAACTTCCCTTTGGGGTATAAATTTCAGCCTTAGTGCCAATTCAAAATTGAAACAAAATGTATTCCTAAATAAATCACTACCAGCCAGGAAACATTTGGCTGCATATTGTAAATTGAAAGATAAATCAAATTTAAGCTG